CAGCGACACAGGGGGGCTCCGTGACAGCGGGGGACAAAGCCACCCCACGGTGGGACACCAGGTGGCCAAAAACACCCCTGGTGGGACAGTAGGTGGCCAAAGCCACCCCACATTGCGACACTGGGTGGCCAAAGTCACCCCATGCTGGGACATCAGGTGGCCAAAGCCACCCCTGGTGCATGCTGTGACCAAAGCCACCCCACACTGGGACTGTAGGTGGCCAAAGCACCCCATGGTGGGACAGTAGGTGGCCAAAGCCACCCCTGGTGCATGCTGTGACCCAAACCACCCCACACTGGGACAGTACGTGGCCAAAGCCACCCCACACTGTGAGACCAGGTGGCCAAAGCCACCCCATGGTGGGACACTGGGTGGCCAAAGCCACCCCTGGTGCATGCTGTGACCCAAACCACCCCACACTGGGACAGTAGGTGGCCAAAGCCACCCCATGCTGGGACATTGAGTGGCCAAAGCCACCCCTGGTGCACGCTGTGACCAAAGCCACCCCACAGTGGGACAGTAGGTGGCCAAAGCCACCCCATGGTGGGACATTGGGTGGCCAAAGCCACCCCTGGTGCATGCTTTGACCCAAACCACCCCACTCTGTGAGACCAGGTGGCCAAAGCCACCCCATGGTGGGACATTGGGTGGCCAAAGCCACCCATGGTGCATGCTTTGACCAAAGCCACCCCATGCTGTGACACCAGGTGGCCAAAGCCACCCCATGGTGGGACGTTGGATGGCCATAGTCACACCTGGTGCACGCTGTGACCCACCCCATGCTGGGACATTGAGTGGCCAAAGCCACCCCTGGTGCACGCTGTGACCAAAGCCACCCCACAGTGGGACAGTAGGTGGCCAAAGCCACCCCATGGTGGGACATTGGGTGGCCAAAGCCACCCCTGGTGCATGCTTTGACCCAAACCACCCCACTCTGTGAGACCAGTGGGGTACCTGTACCCCTGCACCCAGAAACCCAAAACCCTGGGGTACCCAGGGTGGTGAGGTGGCCACAGCCACCCCACGGTGGGACATTGAGTGGCCAAAGCCACCCCTGGTGCGCACTGTGACCAAAGCCACCCCACGGTGGGACACCAGGTGGCCAAAGCCACCCCATGGTGGGACATTGGGTGGCCAAAGCCACCCCTGGTGCATGCTGTGACCAAAGCCACCTCACGCTGTGACACCAGGTGGCCAAAGCCACCCCACGCTGGGACAGTAGGTGGCCACAGCCACCCCACGGTGGGACATTGAGTGGCCAAAGCTACCCCTGGTGCACGCTGTGACCAAAGCCACCCCACACTGGGACAGTAGGTGGCCAAAGCCACCCCATGCTGTGAGACCAGGTGGCCAAAGCCAGCCCATGGTGGGACATTGGGTGGCCAAAGCCACCCCACTCTGTGACACCAGGTGGCCACAGCCACCCCATGGTGGGACATTGAGTGGCCAAAGCCACCCCTGGTGCATGCTGTGACCCAAACCATCCCACACTGGGACAGTAGGTGGCCAAAGCCACCCCATGGTGGGACATTGGGTGACGAAAGCCACCCCTGGTGCACACTGCGACCCAAGCCACTCCACGCTGTGACACTGGGTGGCCAAAGCCACCCCACAGTGGGACACCAGGTGGCCAAAGCCACCCCTGGTGCATGCTGTGACCAAAGCCACCCCACTCTGTGACACTGGGTAGCCAAAGCCACCCCACACTGGGACAGTAGGTGGCCAAAGCCACCCCACGGTGGGACAGTAGGTGGCCAAAGCCACCCTATGCTGTGACACAAGGTGGCCAAAGCCACCCCACAGTGGGACATCGGGTGGCCAAAGCCACCCCTGGTGCATGCTGTGACCAAAGCCACCCCACAGTGAGACAGTAGGTGGCCAAAGCCACTCCACACTGGGACACTGGATGGCCAAAGCCACCCCTGGTGCACGCTGTGACCAAAGCCACCCCACACTGGGACAGTAGGTGGCCAAAGCCACCCCATGCTGTGAGACCAGGTGGCCAAAGCCAGCCCATGGTGGGACATTGGGTGGCCAAAGCCACCCCTGGTGCATGCTGCGACCCAAGCCACCCCACATTGTGACACTGGGTGGCCAAAGCCACCTCACGGTGGGACAGTAGGTGGCCAAAGCCACCCCACGCTGGGACATTGAGTGGCCAAAGCCACCCCTGGTGCATGCTGTGACCAAAGCCACCCCACAGTGAGACAGTAGGTGGCCAAAGCCACTCCACACTGGGACACTGGATGGCCAAAGCCACCCCTGGTGCACGCTGTGACCAAAGCCACCCCACACTGTGACACCAGGTGGCCAAAGTCACCCCACAGTGGGACACTGGTGGCCAAAGCCAGCCTCCTGGCGCGGCACACAGACCAGCTGGGTGACAGACACCGTGTTGTGCACGCTGTGACACCGGGTGACAAAGCCACCCCGCACGCCGTGACGCTGGGTGCACGCCATCGCAGCGGGTGATCAAAGCCACCCCACAGCAGCTGCTGTCACGCCGGGTGACAACGCCACCCCACGCTGTGGCACCAGGTGGGCGGCAGGTCTGGCACACGCCGTGACACCGGGTGACCAAAGCCACCCCACGGCGTGTGCTGTGACACCGAGTGACAAAGCCACCCCGTGCTGTGACAACGGGTGACAAAGCCACCCCGTGCTGTGACACCAGAGGAGCAGCCAGCCTGCCACATGCTGTGACACCGGGTGACAAAGCCACCCCACTCTGTGACACTGGGTGACCACCCTGCCCACTGCATGCTGTGACACTGGTGGCCAAAGCCACCCCATAGCACATCCTGGGACACCCAGGTAACAAAGCCACCCCATAGCACGTCTTGGGACACCCAAGTGACAAAGCCACCCCACTCTGTCACATGGGGTGACCAAAGTCCCCCCATAGCACATCCTTGGGACATCCAAGTGACAAAGCCACCCCATAGCACATCCTTGGGACACCCAAGTGACAAAGCCACCCCACTCTGTCACATGGGGTGACCAAAGTCCCCCCATAGCACATCCTTGGGACACCCAGGTGACAAAGCCACCCCAGTCTGTCACATGGGGTGACCAAAGCCACCCCATAGCACGTCCTGGGACACCCAGGTGACAAAGCCACCCCAGTCTGTGACACTGGGTGACCAGCCTGCCCACTGCATGCCGTGACACTGGGTGGCCAGATCCACCCCATAGCACGTCTTGGGACACCCAAGTGACAAAGCCACCCCATTGTGTCACACTTGGTGGCCAGATCCACCCCATAGCACGTCTTGGGACACCCAAGTGACAAAGCCACCCCACTCTGTCACATGGGGTGACCAAAGCCACCCCATAGCACGTCCTTGGGACATCCAAGTGACAAAGCCACCCCATAGCACGTCCTGGGACACCCAAGTGACGAAGCCACCCCACTCTGTCACATGGGGTGACCAAAGCCACCCCATAGCACGTCCTGGGACACCCAGGTGACAAAGCCACCCCATTGTATCACACTGGCTGGCCAAAGTCACCCCATAGCACGTCCTGGGACACCCAAGTGATAAAGCCACCCCATAGCACGTCCTGGGACACACGGGTGACAAAGCCACCCCATTGTATCACACTGGGTGGCCAAAGCCACCCTATAGCAGATCCTTGGGACCCCCAGGTGACAAACCCCCCCCCCTCTGCCACACGAGGTGACCAAAGCCCCCCTCCCCAAGCCACCCCCGTGCCCCCACCCCGCCACACCGGGTGGTGATCCCCTCCATGCTGTCACCCCATCCCCGTCGTGACCCCATGGCTGGCCTTACGGTGGCCATGGGTGGCGTTGGGTGGCCACCACCTCTCCTTCCCCTGCTCCTATCCCTGTTGTCCCCGGGGGGGCCGGTGGCATCTGCCCCCCGCGTTGCGTCTGCGCCTCCAACATCCTGAGCTGCTCGCAGGCGGCGCTGAGCTCGGTGCCGGCCCCGTTGCCCCGTTTCGCCGCCGTCTTGGACCTCAGCCACAACAATGTCACCCGCCTGCGGGCCGACTGGGCGCCGGGGCGCCTGGCCCACCTCCACGCCCTGCTCCTGGCCCACAACGGCCTCTCCTTCGTCTCCACCGAAGCCTTCGCCCACGTCCCCCACCTCCGCCACTTGGACCTTTCCTCCAACCGCCTGAAGGCCTTGGAGGAGAACCTCTTCAGCGACTTGGCCGAGCTGGAGGTTCTCCTCCTCTACAACAACGAGATCGCCGCCGTGGACCGCACGGCCTTCGAGAACCTGGCCCGGCTCCGCAAACTCTACCTGGGCCAGAACCGCATCGCCCGCTTCCCCCTGGAGCTCCTCCGAGATGGCACCCGCTTGCCCCAGCTGGCCCTCTTGGACCTCTCGGCCAACCGCCTCCGCAGCTTGCCCGTGGGCGACCTACAGGCCTTGCCCGCTTGGCTACGGGACCGCCTCTACCTCCACGGCAACCCCTTGGCTTGCGATTGTCCCCTCTTCCAGCTGGTGGCCCGCGGCCGCCGCCGCCGCCTGAGCGCCGTGGTGGACTTCCAAGAGGAGCTACGGTGTTTCTTGCCCTCTTCATCCTCCTCCTCATCATCTTCATCCTCCACCTCCGTGGGCATCTTGGCCCTGGCCGGCCGGCAACCCCTCAACTGCAGCGAGGCGAGGGAAGCGGTGTTGGAAGGCCACCTCGGGGACACCGTCACCTTGGGGTGTGACACCCGGTTACGGGGGGTACGGAGCCGCCACTGGGTGACCCCCGGTGGGGAGAGGGTGGTGGAAGAAGGGGGCAACGGTAGCGCCGCCTTGTTGGCCAACGGTAGCCTACAGCTCCGGGGGCTCCGGCCGGAGGACGCCGGCACCTACTCTTGTTGGGTGGGGGGTCCTCTCCTCAACGAGACCCTCTACGTGGAGCTGCTGGTGCACAACTTCACCTTGCACGGCCCCCACGACACCCTCAACACCGCCTACACCACCTTGGTGGGCTGCATCCTCAGCGTGGTGCTGGTCCTCATCTACCTGTACCTCACCCCCTGCCGCTGCTGCTGCTGCCGGGGGGGACCCGAGAAACCCCCCCCACCCCGCGACGACAGCATCAACTCCTCCGTCCTCAGCGCCACCCCCAACCACGCCGTTTTGGGGGGGTCCGGGGAACCCCCCAGGTCCCGCTCGGCTTCTTCTACAGGGCCGGGGCAAAACGGCAGGTTTAAAGGAGGGGGGACCCCCCAGGCGCCCCCCCGGCACGGCCCCAAGGGGCAGAGGAAGGTGTCGGATCCGGACTCGGTCAGTTCTGTCTTCTCCGACCCCCCCATCGTGGTGTGAGGAGGGACTTGGGGGGGACACGGGGACATGATGGGGACAGTCCCCAAGGACACCTCAACCCCACTGCCACCAGGACTTGATCCCCATCTTCTTGACCCCCCCCCATTGTGGAATAAGGTGAGGGGGACATGGTGGGGACGGTCCCCAAGGATACCCCATCCCTGCTGCCACCAGGATCTGGCCCCCATCTTTTCTGACCCCCTCCCTCATGGATAAGTTTCGGGGGGACACGGTGGGGATGGTCCCCAAGGACACCTCAACCCCACTGCCACCAGGACCTGATCCCCATCTTCTCTGACACCCCCACATCATGGGATAAATTTGGGAGGGACACAGTAGGGATGGTCCCCAAGGACACCTCAACCCCACTGCCACCAGGATCTGGCCCCCATCTTCTCTGACCCCCCCAATCGTGGTGTGAGGAGGGACTGGGGGGGGACACGGGGACATGATGAGGATGGTCCCCAAGGACACCTCAACCCCACTGCCACCAGGACTTGATCCCCATCTTCTTGACCCCCCCATTGTGGAATAAGGTGGGGGGGACATGGTGGGGACGGTCCCCAAGGATACCCCATCCCTGCTGCCACCAGGACCTGGCCCCCATCTTCTGTGACCCCCCCCATCATGGTTTGAGAAGGGACTGGTGGGGGGACACGGGGACATGATGGGGATGATCCCCAAGGACATCTCAACCCCACTGCCAGCAGGAGCTGGCCCCCATCTTCTCTGACCCCCCACATTGTGGGATAAGTTTGGGGGGGACATTGTTGGGACAGTCCCCAAGGACACCCCAACCCCACTGCCACCAGGACCTGGCCCTCATCTTCTCTGACCCCCCCCATCGTGGTGTGAGGAGGGACTGGGGGGGGACATGGGGACATGGTGGGGATGGTCCCCAAGGACGCCTCAACCCCACTGCCATCAGGACTTGATCCCCATCTTCTCTGACCCCCCCCATCGTGGTGTGAGGAGGGACTGGGGGGGGACATGGGGACATGGTGGGGACGGTCCCCAAGGATACCCCATCCCTGCTGCCACCAGGATCTGGCCCCCATCTTTTCTGACCCCCTCCCTCATGGATAAGTTTCGGGGGGACACGGTGGGGATGGTCCCCAAGGACACCTCAACCCCACTGCCACCAGGACCTGATCCCCATCTTCTCTGACACCCCCACATCATGGGATAAATTTGGGAGGGACACAGTAGGGATGGTCCCCAAGGACACCTCAACCCCACTGCCACCAGGACCTGATCCCCATCTTCTCTGACCCCCCCCTCATCGTGGTGTGAGGAGGGACTGGGGGGGACACGGGGACATGATGGGGATGGTCCCCAAGGACACCTCAACCCTACTGCCATCAGGAGCTGGCCCCCATCTTCTCTGACAGCCCCCTTGGTGGAATAAGGTGGGGGGGACATCATGGGGATGCTCCCCAAGGACCCCATCCCTGCTGCCACCAGGACCTGGCCCCCATCTTCTGTGACCCCCCCCATCATGGTTTGAGAAGGGACTGGTGGGGGGACACGGGGACATGATGGGGATGATCCCCAAGGACATCTCAACCCCACTGCCAGCAGGAGCTGGCCCCCATCTTCTCTGACCCCCCACATTGTGGGATAAGTTTGGGGGGGACATTGTTGGGACAGTCCCCAAGGACACCCCAACCCCACTGCCACCAGGACCTGGCCCTCATCTTCTCTGACCCCCCCCATCGTGGTGTGAGGAGGGACTTGGGGGGGACACGGGGACATGATGGGGACAGTCCCCAAGGACACCTCAACCCCACTGCCACCAGGACTTGATCCCCATCTTCTTGACCCCCCCCCATTGTGGAATAAGGTGAGGGGGACATGGTGGGGACGGTCCCCAAGGACACCCCATCCCTGCTGCCACCAGGATCTGGCCCCCATCTTTTCTGACCCCCTCCCTCATGGATAAGTTTCGGGGGGACACGGTGGGGATGGTCCCCAAGGACACCTCAACCCCACTGCCACCAGGACCTGATCCCCATCTTCTCTGACACCCCCACATCATGGGATAAATTTGGGAGGGACACAGTAGGGATGGTCCCCAAGGACACCTCAACCCCACTGCCACCAGGATCTGGCCCCCATCTTCTCTGACCCCCCCAATCGTGGTGTGAGGAGGGACTGGGGGGGGACACGGGGACATGATGAGGATGGTCCCCAAGGACACCTCAACCCCACTGCCACCAGGACTTGATCCCCATCTTCTTGACCCCCCCATTGTGGAATAAGGTGGGGGGGACATGGTGGGGACGGTCCCCAAGGATACCCCATCCCTGCTGCCACCAGGACCTGGCCCCCATCTTCTGTGACCCCCCCCATCATGGTTTGAGAAGGGACTGGTGGGGGGACACGGGGACATGATGGGGATGATCCCCAAGGACATCTCAACCCCACTGCCAGCAGGAGCTGGCCCCCATCTTCTCTGACCCCCCACATTGTGGGATAAGTTTGGGGGGGACATTGTTGGGACAGTCCCCAAGGACACCCCAACCCCACTGCCACCAGGACCTGGCCCTCATCTTCTCTGACCCCCCCCATCGTGGTGTGAGGAGGGACTGGGGGGGGACATGGGGACATGGTGGGGATGGTCCCCAAGGACACCCCATCCCCACTGCCACCAGGACCTGCCCCCCATCTTCTCTGACCCCCCTCCCCATCGTGGAATAAGTCCGGTGGGGACACGGTGGGGACAGTCCCCAAGGACACCCCAATCCCCACTGCCATCAGGATCTGGCCCCCATCTTCTCTGACCCCCTCTCATCGTGGTGTGAGGAGGGACTGGGGGGGAACGACATCATGGGGATGGTCCCCAAGGACACCCCATCCCCACTGCCACCAGGACCTGCCCCCCATCTTCTCTGACCCCCCCTTGGTGGAATAAGGTGAGGGGGACATCATGGGGATGCTCCCCAAGGACACCTCAACCCCACTGCCACCAGGACCTAATCCCCATCTTCTCTGACCCCCCCCTCATCGTGGTGTGAGGAGGGACTGGGGGGGACACGGGGACATGATGGGGATGGTCCCCAAGGACACCTCAACCCTACTGCCATCAGGAGCTGGCCCCCATCTTCTCTGACAGCCCCCTTGGTGGAATAAGGTGGGGGGGACATCATGGGGATGCTCCCCAAGGACACCTCAACCCCACTGCCAGCAGGACCTGATCCCCATCTTCTCTGACCCCCCCATTGTGGAATAAGTTTGGGAGGGACACAGTAGGGACGGTCCCCAAGGACACCTCAACCCCACTGCCATCAGGATCTGGCCCCCATCTTCTCTGATACCCCCCTTGGTGGAATAAGGTGAAGGGGGACATGGTGGGGACGGTCCCCAAGGACACTGTCCCCCCCTCTCTGGGATCTGGCTCTGATCTTCTCTGACCCCCCACCGTGGTGTAAGGGGGGGGACATCATCATGGGGACGGTCCCCAAGGACACCCCATCCCCACTGCCACCAGGACCTGGCCTTCATCTTCTCCGCCACCCCCATCGTGGTGTGAGGGGGGGGACACATGATGGGGACAACCCCCAGGGACACACCGTGGGCTTGGTCCCCAAGGAACCCCAATCCCCACTGCCATCAGGATCTGGCCCCCATCTTCTCTGACCCCCTCTCATCGTGGTGTGAGGAGGGACTGGGGGGGAACGACATCATGGGGATGGTCCCCAAGGACACCCCATCCCCACTGCCACCAGGACCTGCCCCCCATCTTCTCTGACCCCCCCTTGGTGGAATAAGGTGAGGGGGACATCATGGGGACGGTCCCCAAGGACACCTCAACCCCACTGCCACCAGGATCTGGTCCCCATCTTCTCTGACCCCCCCCATCGTGGTGTGAGGAGGGACTTGGGGGGGACGGGGGGACATGGTGGGGATAGTCCCCAAGGACACCTCAACCCCAATGCCACCAGGACTTGATCCCCATCTTCTTGACCCCCCCATTGTGGAATAAGGTGGGGGGGACATGGTGGGGACGGTCCCCAAGGATACCCCATCCCTGCTGCCACCAGGATCTGATCCCCATCTTCTCTGACCCCCCCCGTTGGTGGAATAAGGTGGTGGACATATGGTGGGGATGGTCCCCAAGGACACTGTCCCCCACCACTTTGGGACCTGGCTCTGATCTTTTCTGACCCCTCCATTGTGGAATAAGGTTGGGGGGACATGGTGGGGATGGTCCCCAAGGACACCTCATCCCCACTGCCACCAGGACCTGCCCCCCATCTTCTCTGACCCCCCCCATCGTGGTGTGAGGAGGGACTGGGGGGGGACATGGGGACATGGTGGGGATGGTCCCCAAGGACGCCTCAACCCCACTGCCATCAGGACTTGATCCCCATCTTCTTGACCCCCCCCCCCCTGGAGGAAATAGGGGGGGGG